CTCTCCCTCTCCTTCCCACTACTTCTCCCTCTCCTTCCCACTCCCTCTCCTTACTACCTCTCCATCTCCTTCCCACTACCTCTCCCTCTCCTTCCCACTACCTCTCCCTCTCCTTCCCACTACCACTCCCTCTCCTTCTTACTACCTCTCCCTCTTTTTCCCACTACCTCTTCCTCTCCTTCCCACTCCCTCTCCCTCTCCTTCCCACTACCTCTCCCTCTCCTTCCCACTACCTCTCCCTCTCCTTCCCACTACCTCTCCCTCTCCTTCCCACTACCTCTCCCTCTCCTTCTTACTACCTCTCCCTCTTCTTCCCACTACCTCTTCCTCTCCTTCCCACTCCCTCTCCCTCTCCTTCCCACTCCCTCTTCCTCTCCTTCCTACTCCCTCTCCCTCTCCTTCCCACTCCCTCTCCCTCTCCTTCCCACTACCTCTCCTTCCCACTACCTCTCCCTCTCCTTCCCACTCCCTCTCCCTCTCCTTCCCACTACCTCTCCCCCTCCTTCCAACTACCTCTCCCTCTCCTTCCCACTACTTCTCCCTCTCCTTCCCACTCCCTCTCCTTACTACCTCTCCATCTCCTTCCCACTACCTCTCCCTCTCCTTCCCACTACCTCTCCCTCTCCTTCCCACTACCACTCCCTCTCCTTCTTACTACCTCTCCCTCTTTTTCCCACTACCTCTTCCTCTCCTTCCCACTCCCTCTCCCTCTCCTTCCCACTACCTCTCCCTCTCCTTCTTACTACCTCTCCCTCTTCTTCCCACTCCCTCTCCCTCTCCTTCCCACTCCCTCTTCCTCTCCTTCCCACTCCCTCTCCCTCTCCTTCCCACTCCCTCTCCCTCTCCTTCCCACTCCCTCTCCCTCCCCTTCCCTCTCCAGCTCCCTCTCCTTCCCGCTCTCTCTCCCTCTCCTTGCCACTCCCTCTCCTTCCCCATACCTCTCCCTCTCCTTCTCCCTTCTCCTTCCCACTATCTCTCCCTCTCCTTCCCACTACCTCTACTTCCCACTCCCGCTCCCTCTCCCTCCCACTCCCTCTCCTTTCCACTCCCTCTCCCTCTCCTTCCCACTCCCTCTCCTTCCCTCTCCCTCTCCCTCTCCTTCCCGCTCCCTCTCCTTCCCTCCCCCTCTCCCTCTCCTTTCCACTCCCTCTCCCTCTCCTTCCCACTCCCTCTCCTTCCCTCTCCCTCTCCTTCCCACTCCCTCTCCTTCCCGCTCCCTCTCCCTCTCCTTCCCTCTCCCTCTCCTTCCCTCTCCCTCTCCTTCCCACTCCCTCTCCTTTCCACTCCCTCTCCCTCTCCTTCCCTCTCCCTCTCCTTCCCACTCCCTCTCCTTCCCACTCCCTCTCCTTCCCACTCCCTCTCCTTCCCGCTCCCTCTCCTTCCCTCTCCCTCTCCCTCTCCTTTCCACTCCCTCTCCCTCTCCTTTCCACTCCCTCTCCTTCCCCCTCCCATTCCTTCCCACTCCCTCTCCTTCCCACTCCCTCTCCCTCTCCTTCCCACTCCCTCTCCTTCCCCCTCCCTCTCCTTTCCACTCCCTCTCCTTCCCACTCCCTCTCCTTTCCTCTCCTTTCCACTCCCTCTCCTTTCCACTCCCTCTCCTTCCCACTTCCTCTCCTTTCCACTCCCTCTCCCTCTCCTTCCCTCTCCCTCTCCTTCCCACTCCCTCTCCTTTCCACTCCCTCTCCCTCTCCTTCCCTCTCCCTCTCCTTCCCACTCCCTCTCCTTCCCACTCCCTCTCCTTCCCACTCCCTCTCCTTCCCGCTCCCTCTCCTTCCCTCTCCCTCTCCCTCTCCTTTCCACTCCCTCTCCCTCTCCTTTCCACTCCCTCTCCTTCCCCCTCCCATTCCTTCCCACTCCCTCTCCTTCCCGCTCCCTCTCCTTCCCTCTCCCTCTCCCTCTCCTTCCCACTCCCTCTCCTTCCCGCTCCCTCTCCTTCCCTCTCCCTCTCCCTCTCCTTTCCACTCCCTCTCCCTCTCCTTTCCACTCCCTCTCCTTCCCCCTCCCATTCCTTCCCACTCCCTCTCCTTCCCGCTCCCTCTCCTTCCCTCTCCCTCTCCCTCTCCTTTCCACTCCCTCTCCTTCCCCCTCCCTCTCCTTTCCACTCCCTCTCCTTCCCACTCCCTCTCCTTTCCACTCCCTCTCCCTCTCCTTCCCTCTCCCTCTCCTTCCCACTCCCTCTCCTTCCCACTCCCTCTCCTTCCCACTCCCTCTCCTTCCCGCTCCCTCTCCTTCCCTCTCCCTCTCCCTCTCCTTCCCACTCCCTCTCCCTCTCCTTTCCACTCCCTCTCCTTCCCCCTCCCATTCCTTCCCGCTCCCTCTCCTTCCCTCTCCCTCTCCCTCTCCTTCCCGCTCCCTCTCCTTCCCTCTCCCTCTCCCTCTCCTTCCCACTCCCTCTCCTTCCCTCTCCCTCTCCCTCTCCTTCCCACTCCCTCTCCTTCCCTCTCCCTCTCCCTCTCCTTCCTGCTCCCTCTCCTTCCCTCTCACTCTCCCTTTCCTTCCCACTCACACTCCCTCTCCCTCTCCTTCTCCTTCCCACTATCTCTCCCTCTCCTTCCCACTACCTCTTCCTCTTCTTCCCTCTCCCTCTCCCTCCCACTCCCTATCCTTTCCACTCCCTCTCCCTCTCCTTCCCACTCCCTCTCCTTTCCACTCCCTCTCCCTCCCCTTGCCACTCCCTCTCCCTCCCCTTGCCCCTCCCTCTCCCTCTCCTTCCCACTCCCTCTCCTTCCCTCTCCCTCTCCCTCTCCTTCCCACTCCCTCTCCTTCCCTCTCCCTCTCCCTCTCCTTCCCACTCCCTCTCCTTCCCTCTCCCTCTCCCTCTCCTTCCTGCTCCCTCTCCTTCCCTCTCCCTCTCCCTTTCCTTCCCACTCCCACTCCCTCTCCCTCTCCTTCTCCTTCCCACTATCTCTCCCTCTCCTTCCCACTACCTCTCCCTCTCCTTCCCTCTCCCTCTCCTTCCCTCTCCCTCTCCTTCCCGCTCCCTCTCCTTTCCACTGTCTCTCCCTCTCCTTCCCTCTCCCTCTCCTTCCCGCTCCCTCTCCTTTCCACTCTCTCTCCTTCTCCTTCCCACTATCTCTCCCTCTCCTTTCCACTCCCTCTCCCTCTCCTTCCCACTCCCTCTCCTTCCCTCTCCCTCTCCCTCTCCTTCCCACTCCCTCTCCTTCCCTCTCCCTCTCCCTCTCCTTCCCACTCCCTCTCCTTCCCCCTCCCATTCCTTCCCGCTCCCTCTCCTTCCCTCTCCCTCTCCCTCTCCTTCCCGCTCCCTCTCCTTCCCTCTCCCTCTCCCTCTCCTTCCCACTCCCTCTCCTTCCCTCTCCCTCTCCCTCTCCTTCCCACTCCCTCTCCTTCCCTCTCCCTCTCCCTCTCCTTCCTGCTCCCTCTCCTTCCCTCTCCCTCTCCCTTTCCTTCCCACTCCCACTCCCTCTCCCTCTCCTTCTCCTTCCCACTATCTCTCCCTCTCCTTCCCACTACCTCTCCCTCTCCTTCCCTCTCCCTCTCCTTCCCTCTCCCTCTCCTTTCCACTCTCTCTCCCTCCCCTTGCCACTCTCTCTCCCTCCCACTCCCTCTCCTTTCCACTCCCTCTCCCTCCCCTTGCCACTCTCTCTCCCTCTCCTTCCCTCTCCCTCTCCTTCCCTCTCCCTCTCCTTCCCGCTCCCTCTCCTTTCCACTCTCTCTCCCTCTCCTTCCCTCTCCCTCTCCTTTCCACTCTCTCTCCCTCTCCTTCCCTCTCCCTCTCCTTCCCTCTCCCTCTCCTTCCCGCTCCCTCCCCTTGCCACTCTCTCTCCCTCTCCTTCCCTCTCCCTCTCCTTCCCGCTCCCTCTCCTTTCCACTCTCTCTCCCTCTCCTTCCCTCTCCCTCTCCTTCCTGCTCCCTCCCCTTGCCACTCTCTCTCCCTCTCCTTCCCTCTCCCTCTCCTTCCCTCTCCCTCTCCTTCCCGCTCCCTCCCCTTGCCACTCTCTCTCCCTCTCCTTCCCTCTCCCTCTCCTTCCCGCTCCCTCTCCTTTCCACTCTCTCTCCCTCTCCTTCCCTCTCCCTCTCCTTCCCGCTCCCTCTCCTTTCCACTCTCTCTCCCTCTCCTTCCCTCTCCCTCTCCTTCCCACTACCACTCCCTCTCCCTCTCCTTCCCTCTCCCTCTCCTTCCCGCTCCCTCTCCTTTCCACTCCCTCTCCCTCTCCTTCCCGCTCCCTCTCCCTCCCCTTGCCACTCTCTCTCCCTCTCCTTCCCTCTCCCTCTCCTTCCCACTACCACTCCCTCTCCCTCTCCTTCCCACTCCCTCTCCTTCCCTCTCCCTCTCCCTCTCCTTCCCACTCCCACTCCCTCTCCCTCTCCCTCTCCTTCCCGCTCCCTCTCCCCCACACTCTTTCTCCTTCCCTCTCCCTCTCCTTGCCACTCTCTCTCCCTCTCAATCCCAGTCCCTCTCCCTCCTTCCCACTCCCTCTCCCTCTCCGCTTCCCGCTCCCTCTCCCCCCCACTCCTTCTCCTTCCCTCTCCCTCTCCTTGCCACTCTCTCTCCCTCTCAATCCCAGTCCCTCTCCCTCCTTCCCACTCCCTCTCCCTCTCCTTCCCGCTCCCTTTCCCCCCCTCCCCACTCCTTCTCCTTCCCTCTCCCTCTCCTTGCCACTCTCTCTCCCTCTCCTTCTTACTCACTCTCCCTCTACTTCCCACTCCCTCTCCTTCCCACTTCCCAGTGACACACAATTTCTCCAAAAGTTAGTTTAACAATATGGAATTAAATTTTGAATAAGATTATTGAAATAGACATGACAGATATTAACATCAAGTCGGATAGATCTTCTGAACACTTCAGTGCAGATTTGTTAACCTCCAAATTATCCACATGCCCACAGACAAGTAGTGACAACAAATTCTGCTTAGTAACATTAAAGATTCACTTGGTATAGAATAATAGGGTTTTGATCCCCAGTTTTATGTGCATACTTTCAGTCTTTTAATATAATCAAATCAAGAATTTTATATTGTAACATTGTTTTATGTTTCAGTAATTGAACCAACAAGCATTGGTGAACGCAGTGACATAGCATTACAGTCTCCAAGCTCTCAACCAAGTGATTCTGGTGCTGCTTCCACAGATACCCAACCTCAACACGAAATACAGTGACACGTTCTGTATCCATAGATACTCCACATTGAGAAACCATACAGTGACTCGTTTTGTATCCATAGATACCCAACATCAACGCTTAAAACTTGTTCATAACTTCTGTACTGTGATCTGTGTCTAAAGTGCATACTTAACACAAGAATTGTAAGCCACTTTTGTGTTGCACAAGACTTGAGATGGCGAGCTCAACACCCAGACTGGAAGACGTGGTTATTGCATACTGTCCATGTGACACAGATTTTGTCAGGAAGTTAGCTGGTAAGTTAGAGTGTCAATCTGGGGTAAAAAAAGAAGTAAGTTGGAGCCAATATAATTAACTATCTTCCAGGACCTTTGCAAAAAATGTTACAGATATCTGCACGTTTTCATGACTTAATTTCTGTAGACAAGCATTCACCAATATTAAACAAAAAACAAAATAACTACTTTGTAATGATTGATAATGATACAACAGAGGTATTGTGTTTTTAATCCACAAGTAATGTAAAATAATTGAGAAAACAAATTTTAAAGTCATTTGTAGCAAGCACCATCTAATTCTAGTCAATATCACGCTGAATGAAGAAAACTGAGACTGTCCATGTTCAGTCATCTGTAAGCTACATCAGAAACTAAAACTTACAATTAATACATAGACAGTATCTATTGATTAAATACAAGAAATCCCTACCTGTTTTGTAAATCTATAAGGATCCTAAGCGTAATCACAGTTGAATTTTGCTCCAATTGATGCAGCTATTGACAACAACATAAAGGCCATATTTGTTGTTGGTCAAGCCATCATTTTACACGACACTGTTCACTATGTATATTACTTGAAACATAATATTGATTTTCTACAGGTGGCAATGATGTCTGCAGTCCTTACAAGTTTGTTTTGATGATTGTACTCATGGAAGTGACATTACCAGCTGTTGTTACAAGTGTCTTCTTTAAAGATACAAAATTCTTACAAATCTTCTTCCTCTATTACATCATTGCCAAATTCTTGTATTTTCACTGCAATCCCACTAAACTAAACTTTCATATCTTCAACATAATTCCTCTCAACTGTCAACTGTACAACAATCAGTCGTTCCTGCAATAGGACCCAACAGCCCACAGCGCTCTTGTGCATGAAAATGCCTTATTGGCTGTTTATGATACATGAGTATTAGTAAGTATTGGTGTTTCTTGCGACTCTTCAAGATGGCATCATCTCTTCATTCAGCATGTCATATGTGTGGTCATTTTACGAGGGGCGTTCAATAAGTTTTGCAACTTCAATATAAGACCAAGTCGCAGAATATCTTTTGCACTTTTATATTTTTCAATATGATCTCCATTCACCTCAATACACTTATTCCATTTGTCCTTCAAGCTTTTAATACCACTTTAATAGAAATCCGCGTATTGGGCCTCTAACCACGCCTCTGTGGCAGCCTTTATGTCCTGGTCATCCTGGAAGAGTCTTCCATGAAGGGCAGATTTCATTTGCCGGAACAGGAAATACTCATTGGGGGCTAACTTTGGGCTGTAGGGTAGGTGATTTAACTGTACAGCTGAGACTTAGGCCCCAGTGACTATTTACACATCTGGATCTGTTTGTGACTTCCCTGAATCCAGGGCTCCCAAATTACACCCATTACCAGACCAAGGGCATTACAGATCAACACTCTATCGATGGATTGAACAGATCTCTTCGCTTACGCACTCCCTCAATGGTCTCTCCTAGACAAGGTGATTAAAAACAGAATTCACGGACTGTACCACCATTCTGATTGCCCCTGATCTGGCCCAGCAGGCTGTGGTTTCAATACAGGTCAGACCTCTTTAACAAAAATCTTCCCAGCCGAATTCTCACCGCCTGGAAGTCATCTCGCAAAAGATGCAAGCCACTGACATACAGCCTGATCTTCAGAGATCTACTCTCTAGGCACTATCGTTACAGCACAGGGCAATTATCAGACAAGGCAAGGATTTTCACTAGCAGCAATCAGAAGGTGTTCACCTTTTCTTCAGCTACTGAGTGTATCTTGAAAGTATAATGTATCTATACAGTTAGAGTGTTAACTGAATGACTGGAAGTGACATCACAATCAGAAGGGAAATGAGACTGGAAGTGAGGTCATAAATAACGTCATAAGCAATGGAAATGATATCATAAGGCGGAAATGATGTCAAAACTGGTTGTAAAGGCCGGAAGTGACAATAAAATGAAACATTATGATATCCAAGAGACTACAGGGATAATCATTAAAAGGAATATCGGGAATATAAGGGTAGTTCTTGGATGTCAACTCGTGGGGTTTTGAAGCACATTTATATGATGGAATCACAGGTTTATAGGTATTGCTGTCAACTATACATTGAGTGTACTGGAGGCAGAATCCTCCTTTCCTCTGGTATATTCTGGTATATTCTGGCAATGGCCGGGACTGAGGTGGGGGGGCTAAAAAGGGTAATTTGGCAATATTGCTTAAAACGACTTTTTCTCTGGAACTAAGAGATGGACAACAACCATATTTGGTTGGAAGTACTCTCAGGTGATGGGAATTCATAATTGTACAAATGGAGGGGCTGAACACCCCCCGGACACATTTAAGATCCCCACTGTATAACCATATGTACAATTGCTGAGTATAATGAGAGGAATACACTGGCCTTCTGTTCATCTGTCTGGCACTACCAAATGAGTTAGAACCTTGACCATAACATTCAAACCAATATTATCCCCACCCTATAATATACAGATACATTGTATACATTTGTTTGTTTGGAAGAGAGTAAAAGATTTATGCCAATAGGATTTGCCCTGGGGTCCAGCCTTGCCTTAGATCCTGGATCATACCATGGAAACAGTTCAGATCTTTATGCTACATTTGTATCTAGAGAAGTACACGTTCATGCTGTCAGATTTGCCATCCACCCCTTTACCCATCCATCCATCCACCATGCGTAAATATCCAGGTGAGTGATACAGGCCCTATGGGCCTCTTGTTAATAATTCAAGGAATACTAGCGCTATTACATCAGAAGTATTCCCTCCGATCTCACCAATCATCTTTCTCTGGTTGACCGTTGTTTGGAAAGAAGTGAGTTTTTTTCAGCCTTTATGCACAAGAGCGCTGTGGGCTGTTGGGTGCTATTGCAGAAACGACGGATTGTTGTATAGTTGACAGTGCAGAGGACTTATGTTGAGAATATGAAAGTTTACTTCAGTGGGATTGCAGCCAAACTTTGGCAATGATGTTATAGAGGTAGTATTCTTTGATTATTCTCACAATGTGTTGTTGTAAAGGTAGAAAGTGAAATGTCAGTGTTACAAATGGGACAGGTGACAAATGGAAAGTGTAACAAATGGTGAAGTGTAGAAAATGGGAAATGTAATAAATGGTCAGTGTAATAGATAAGTGTAACAAATGGTGTAGTTTAACAATGGAGAAGTGTAACAAATGGGAAGTGTCACAAATGGGAAGTGTCACAAATAAGTGTAACAAATGGGAAGTGTAATAAATGGAAAGTGTAATAAATGGGAAGTATAACAAATGGGAAGTGTCACAAAAAAGTGTAACAAATGGGAAGTGTAATAAATGGAAAGTGGAACAAATGGGAAGTGTCACAAGTAAGTGTAACAAATGGGAAGTGTAACAAATAAGTGTAATAAATGGAAAGTGTAACAAATGGGAAGTGTCACAAATAAGTGTAACAAATGGGAAGTGTAATAAATGGAAAGTGGAACAAATGGGAAGTGTCACAAGTAAGTGTAACAAATTGGAAGTGTAACAAATAAGTGTAATAAATGGAAAGTGTAGCAAATGGGAAGTGTAACAAATGGGAAGTGTCACAAATAAGTGTAACAAATTGGAAGTGTAATAAATGGGAAGTGTAACAAATAAGTGTAACAAATTGGAAGTGTAACAAATGGGAAGTGTAACAAATAAGTGTAACAAATGGGAAGTGTAGCAAATGGGAAGTGTAATAAATGGAAAGTGTAATAGATTAGTGTAATATATGGTCAGTGTAACAAATATGTGTAACAAATGGTGAAGTTTGACAATGGAGAAGTGTAACAAATGGTCAGTGTAACAAATGTGTAACAAATTGGAAGTGTAGCAAATGGGAAGTGTAATAAATGGAAAGTGTAATAGATAAGTGTAATATATGGTCAGTGTAACAAATATGTGTAACAAATGGTGAAGTTTGACAATGGAGAAGTGTAACAAATGGTCAGTGTAACAAATGTGTAACAAATTGGAAGTGTAGCAAATGGGAAGTGTTAAAAATGGAAAGTGTAATAGATAAGTGTAATATATGGTCAGTGTAACAAATATGTGTAACAAATGGTGAAGTTTGACAATGGAGAAGTGTAACAAAGGTCGGTGTTACAAATAAGTGTAGGAAATGGAGAAGTGTAACAAATGAGAAGTGTAACAAATAAGTGTAACAAATGGGAAGTGTAACAAATAAGTGTAACAAATGGGAAGTGTAACAAAGGGGAAATGTAACAAATAAGTGTAACAAATGGGAAATGTAATAGATAAGTGTAATAAATGGAAAGTGTAGCAAATTGTAAGTGTAACAAATGGGGAGTGTAACAATTGGTGATGTGTAGCACATGGGAAGTGTTATAAATGGGAAGTGTAATAAATATGTGTAACAACTGGTGTAGTTTAACAATGGAGAAGTGTAACAAATGGGAAGTGTAACAGATGAGAAGTGTAACAAACTGGAAATGTAAGAAATGGGAAGTGTAACAAATGGTCAGTGTAACAAATAAGTGTAACAAATGGTAAAGTTTAACAATGGAGAAGTGTAACAAATGGGAAGTGTAACAAACAGGAAGTGTAACAAATGGGAAGTGTAACAAACAGGAAGTGTAACAAATGGGAAGTGTAACAAACAGGAAGTGTAACAAATGGGAAGTGTAATAAATAGTGAAGTGTGGCAAATAAGAGTAACAATTGGGATGTGTAGCAAAAGGGAAAATGTAACAAAAGTATAAAGGTATATATATGGAGAGAGAGAGCTTTGTTTGCAGATGCTTTGCGTGAAGCCAAGTTGTCTGTGTGGTATGCCAGCCCCTCACTCCCACATCACCAGGTGGGACAGCTCAAGAGTCAGGCAATTCTGGGATGCAAGGTGACCATTGAGCATTTAAAATTATTTTGGGGATTTCAGATACAACTTTAAGTATGGCAGCCATAGCAGCTCTATTTAATGACCCTCTAATTGCCATTAAATGGACATCTCCAGGCAGGTAGTGTTTCTCTACCAGTATAGTGGTACAAGGTGTCTCCAGGCAGGTGGTGTTTCTCTACACGTATAGTGGTACAATGTGTCTCCAGGCAGGTGGTGTTTCTCTACCTGTATAGTGGTACAATGTGTCTCCAGGCAGGTGGTGTTTCTCTACACGTATAGTGGTACAATGTGTCTCCAGGCAGATGGTGTTTCTCTACCAGTATAGTGGTACAATGTGTCTGCAGGCAGAAGAAGCTTCAGCTACCTGTATAGTGGTACAATGTGTCTCCAGGCAGATGGTGTTTCTCTACCAGTACAGTGGTACAATGTGTCTCCAGGCAGATGGTGTTTCTCTACCAGTACAGTGGTACAATGTGTCTCCAGGCAGATGGTGTTTCTCTTCCAGTATAATGGTACAATGTGTCTCCAGGCAGAAGAAGCTTCAGCTACCTGTATAATGGTACAATGTGTCTCCAGGCAGATGGTGTTTCTCTACCAGTACAGTGGTACAATGTGTCTCCAGGCAGATGGTGTTTCTCTTCCAGTATAATGGTACAATGCGTCTCCAGGCAGAAGAAGCTTCAGCTACCTGTATAGTGGTACAATGTGTCTCCAGGCAGAAGAAGCTTCAGCTACCTGTATAGTGGTACAATGTGTCTCCAGGCAGATGGTGTTTCTCTACCAGTACAGTGGTACAATGTGTCTCCAGGCAGATGGTGTTTCTCTTCCAGTATAATGGTACAATGTGTCTCCAGGCAGAAGAAGCTTCAGCTACCTGTATAGTGGTACAATGTGTCTCCAGGCAGAAGAAGCTTCAGCTACCTGTATAATGGTACAATGTGTCTCCAGGCAGAAGAAGCTTCAGCTACCTGTATAATGGTACAATGTGTCTCCAGGCAGAAGAAGCTTCAGCTACCTGTATAATGGTACAATGTGTCTCCAGGCAGAAGAAGCTTCAGCTACCTGTATAGTGGTACAATGTGTCTCCAGGCAGAAGAAGCTTCAGCTACCTGTATAGTGGTACAATGTGTCTCCAGGCAGAAGAAGCTTCAGCTACCTGTATAGTGGTACAATGTGTCTCCAGGCAGAAGAAGCTTCAGCTACCTGTATAGTGGTACAATGTGTCTGCAGGCAGAAGAAGCTTCAGCTACCTGTAAAGTGGTACAATGTGTCTCCAGGCAGAAGAAGTTTCAGCTACCTGTATAGTGGTACAATGTGTCTCCAGGCAGAAGAAGCTTCAGCTACCTGTATAGTGGTACAATGTGTCTGCAGGCAGAAGAAGCTTCAGCTACCTGTATAGTGGTACAATGTGTCTCCAGGCAGATGGTGTTTCTCTACCAGTACAGTGGTACAATGCGTCTCCAGGCAGATGGTGTTTCTCTTCCAGTATAATGGTACAATGCGTCTCCAGGCAGAAGAAGCTTCAGCTACCTGTATAGTGGTACAATGTGTCTCCAGGCAGAAGAAGCTTCAGCTACCTGTATAGTGGTACAATGTGTCTCCAGGCAGAAGAAGCTTCAGCTACCTGTATAGTGGTACAATGTGTCTCCAGGCAGAAGAAGCTTCAGCTACCTGTATAGTGGTACAATGTGTCTCCAGGCAGAAGAAGTTTCAGCTACCTGTTTATAGCGCAGCTCAGTGTCCCACTATTCACTTCCATTTACTTAGTTCTTTTGATGGACACTTGGGAATAAATTCAGTCATGTTACTGTTTATTGAATAGAGCCTGCATGACAAACTTGATTTTGTGTAAGTAGACCTGCAGCGTTCACTCAGTTTAATGTTAATACCTTTGGCATGTAGCTTCTGTCACTTTGTAATTTTGGATGTTGTTGGTTTTGTGCAAATATGATTAGTGAACAGAACTCTCACACTGATACTGAATGTGTCAAGTAATTATTTTGTTTCTATGTGTAACATACAAATGCTTGTATCACAGTGCTTCCTGCAGTTATGCCAGGTAAGTGATAACCCCTTTATTTTATGTCACTAAACATGCTTATGTCGGCAGTAATGCCTGTGCTCTTTCCTCCATTCGAGACATTCCCCTTTTTGATGACAGGCATTCCTGCCAATATTGTCAAAGGATTCTGCATCTGACAAGCAGCTGAATGATGAACTTGCCCTGGCCTACATTTCTGACTCTGCTGTGTTCCCAGTTGGGCTCAGCACATACCGGGACCTGGCTCCCATTCTCAGTGGTGGAACGTGAGTATAGCATTACAACATGGGAGCAGACAGATGCATACACATTGCAAACATTAATCATAGTATGCATTGAGTGAGAAGCTGTATTTTTCCTCATAGTGATATAGCTGTATAGAAGGGATATATACTGTTGTGATGTACACATGTTACATGTACAGTTGAGGTTGATTTTTAACTTTTAACAGTTCCATCTTCATCTTCATAGAGATACTTCAAAAACTGTAAAATGATGGACAGGGGAACATGAGAGAGATGGCTAACAGAAAACCACTTCCTGATATAGGATTCCTACTATTCCAATCCAGTGACAAAAGTAAAGTTTCATTAAATATGAAAGTTCCAGGGGATGGCCAGGTAGAACATGGGGGATTAACTGTCTGTATATTCAGATACTAGGGTGTAAACCCTCATCCTGATGATATATAGCTTGGATATAAATTGCCATGAAGCAGATGGGATATATGCTGTCATCATATAAACAGATGGGATATAATAATTCATGGATTAAGTTCATTTATATCACACCATTTTGCATACTGTCTTAGCATCACAACAGTTTATACCCTATCTGTTTATATCCCATGTTTATTCCCATCAGTTTTTATCCAATCAGTTCATAACCAATCTGCTTGTATCCCATCTGTTTAAACCCCATCAGTTTATATCCCATCTGTTTAAATCTCATCTGTTTATATCCCATGTTTATTCCCATCTGTTTTTATCCCATCAGTTCATAACCCATCTGTTTATAACCCATCTGTTTAAGTCCCATTTGTGTAAATTCCATCTGTTTATATCCTATCTGTTTATATCCCATCTCTTTATATCCCATCTGTTTAAGTCCCATCTGTTCATACCCCATCTCTTTATATCCCCTTTCTTTATATCCCATCTCCTTTTCCCCATATGTTTATATCACATCTCTAAAAATCCCATCTGTTATACCCCATCTGTTTATATCCCCTCTCTTTACATCTATACCACATCAGATGAACCTTATCTGAATATGTCCCATCTGTAGATCACATCAGTTTATATCCCCTCTCTTTACATATATATCACAACAGTTCTACTAAAATCTAGATATAATATATATTTGAATACTTATCCTGCATTACTCCTTAATGCATTTACTGCTTGTTTTTGACAGAGAAATGGGAAAATTATTATTATTTTTGCACTGTCATTAAATATAAATTAAGGAATGAATGAATAAACAACATAACAATATTAATATTTCGTTTTTAATGATTTTATTACAAGTTACACACGGTTATTATCTATCGTGAAGACGTCCGATTTTCGATCACAAATGAATTAATTTCGTTAATCCGACATACTCGTTAATCTGACACAATCATGTGCAACCAACGATGTCGGATTAACGAGACTTGACTGTAGTTGAGTGGCTAATCACACAGCTCCCTACCACAGAAGGGGTGATGTCACTGATCAGCACATTGCTGCTGTCACCCATAGAGAACAGTCACCAGTTTGGGGTCACAGCTCTAATCCACAAAATCCTTTAAGTGTTTTCAACAGTATAGTTTCTTTGTGATTGCTATTTAACAAATAAACGATGAGTGGGGCTGGTTTATAGTACAATACACAACGACCATGAGTCGTTTATTTCTTATATGAGATATCAACATTATGTACAGCCTCTTTAAGAATGTTAGTAAAAAGTACACACTTTAAAAATATTTGCCTGTATTTAAATAATGATGACTCCCAGAATAGAATCTGACCGCCGCAATGTTGGACAAGTCCATTTTATTAACAGGGTTTGATCTTTTCTGCATATTCTCACAATTTTCACATCGATTATCTGTACCTTTTCTCCCAATACTGACGGTCATATCTCTCTCAGTTTTGGAAATGATAGTTCGGACATTGCGTTTATCTATGTTGTCCAGCTACGGAACAACTCATTTGACACTTCCCTCTTAAAAAATAACGTTGTACAATTTACATTTACATGCAAGCGCATGTTCGTATCACCAGAAATGACGTCATGATAGAACAATGTTTGACGTGAAATAAACCATGCTTCGTTTTTCATTGTTCTTTGCGATTTATCACGTAGCTATCTTATATTGGTGCTTATGGTGTGTGACTTCATATCTTTCATATGATTTATGCCATAGCATTAATATTTTTCACCTGGTGGTGGTGTTTACCATGATAAATATCAGTTGTATTGTTGTTCCAACTAGCCATTTTGAATTCACCACGTGGTCACGTATTTTTGTGTCATGCCTTCTGTATTCTCTATATTGTATGGTACTTCAATTCATTGTCGTACCCTAGCAATATTATCGTTATTAAACTGTTGTTTCTTTTTGCGATGTTTGCGTAAACTTGTTCTTCATAAACCCACATGGCTGGGATAAATGATTATAGCATACGTAATCCGGTGGGAAAGCATTTTGATTACACTCTGCTATCATTGCAGATACATGCCATATTGTAGTAGCAAGTGTCATGGAAATAAGTCGTGGTGGGACCCTCACCTATTGTGTCTGATTACACCACCATCTTCTCCCAGTCTACAAAGTGTAAGGTTTGTCTGCCACTCTCCCCTACACCTTTCTCCAAATACCGACAAGTGTCTTGCAAAAGGCAGACATAGCAGGCATGGAACTGACGTCTCAGCAAGAAAATGTCCGACTCAACCAAGCCTACCACCGCTCTCCAGCCGCTTTAGACGCCATACATGGACCCTGCTTGGCTGCATCTGATGCAGAGTATCTGCTCCTTCACATCTCACAGCTCTGCCTCTCCTGCCTCGAGACATAGTGAGAATATGTCGTCCAGGTACAGATGTTGGTTCCTTAGCCTCTTTGCAGTCCGACCCCATAGAGACTGTTGTTCTGACTCCTCAGAGGGTTCCTTACCATCCCTACTTATGACGGCTCCCTCGTTGATGTTGACTCTCACCTTCCTGTCTCCGGTGCCCGACCCACAAGCCTAGGCAGTCGACGCCTTCAGCGTACCCTGATAAGGAATAAAAGCATGCCCTCTTTCACCGCCAGTGCTTCTTCCCTGTGTCCTTCAGAAGATAGATGAACCCAGAGCCTTGCTCTGACTTTGCTAGCGCCTTGGTGGCCGGTGAGAAGCTGGTTCGTGGAGGAACATCATCCACCAATCCCCTCGAACTTCCAGACTGGCCAAACCTGCTGATCCACCCTCACAGCAGACAGCCCCACATGGCTCCGGACAGGTTACACCTTCACGCCTGGTCAATCTACAAAGAGCCCTAAGTGCCAAAGGTTACTCGGCAAGGGTAACAAAAGCCATCACCGTCACGCTGTTACGCAACTGCTCAATCTTTGCCATTATGGAAGGCTATTTCTGGCGTTCAGACAACGTCTTCGCTGGCCACTACCTAAGAGATGTCACCTTTGAACAAGTGGAAGGCGTCCATAACTTTGGCCTTTTGTTGGTTACCCCGCAGGTCACCGTCCCTAGACGCCACTGACGCTTCCACATGTCGGGAACCGACCTGTCGACCTCTCCGGTGTGTGACACCCTAGACAAGAAGGTGACATGCTGCAAGCACTGGCTCGGTATGTCAGAACTAGACTTTAACTCTGTTTAATTTCTTTTACTGCAATGATACCTGGACGTCACATACCTGACTCTCTCCTTCCCTGCCAACAGGAATGGCCACTCGATGCCGGACATCACTGTTGCTGATTAGTGGAGACTAAGGAGAGTTTTGGAAAATCACATCTGATGGTATGCCCTCCTCCGTACTGTCAGATATAGATGCATTAAGGAGTAATGCAGGATAAATTAAAAAATCTTGTAAAATCTAGATATTTTCTATATTTGTACACTTATCCCGCATTACTCTAAAGAGGCCCAACCTGTTGCAGAGCTGCCACCCCATGATGTCTTCAGATGATCTGTTTTTACCAGTAATGTGCTGATCAGTGATGTCACCTCTTCCGTGGTCAGGTGGTAGATGTGTGATAGGGTTAGCCACTCAACCAGTTGGAACAACTTCTTCTTCAGCAAGACCTCTCACGGCCCTTTCTATGTCAAGAACAAGTAGTGAATGTATTAAGGAGTAATGCAGGATAAGTGAAAAAATCAGGATATTAACCATCCCCAAACACATAAGTGTGATAAACTCTTAATCAAATAATGTCATTCTTCAATTCTGTGCTCGAAAAATCTCTTCCCATCTCTCACAAAAGTTTTCCTGGAATGTGCGCATTAATATATATTACGTCAGAAGGTGACAGACTTAGCCCTACAACCAGTTGGAACAACTTCTCTTCAGCAAGACCTCTCACAGCTCTTTCTCTGTCAAAAACAAGCAGTAAATGCATTAAGGAGTAATGCAGGATAAGTATACAAATATAAATTATATCTAGATTTTAGTAGAACTGTTGTGATATTTATGTAAAGAGAGGAATATAAACTGATGTGATCTACAAATGGGGCATATTCAGATAAGGTTCATTTGTTGTGGTATAGATGTAAACAGATGGGGTATATAGAGATGTGATATCAACATATGGGGAAAAAGAGATGGGATATAAAGAGAGGGGATATGAACAGATGGGGTATAACATATGGGGTATATAGAGATGTGTTATAAACATCTGGGGTATAAGGAGATGGGATTTAAACTAGGGGTGTCACGATAAATCAAAATATCGATATTGGTAAGCACTTGAAGTCATTAAATCGATTGTTAAACCAGTTTACGATCAATAGTATCGATTTCAGTAAAGAATATTGATAGCTTCGATTGCATTTACCATATCAATAAAATACATGCAATGCTGTTCAAATTTGTTTTTCTTTTGATCATGAGTGGTAGTAATGTGGAAGTTTCTTTTTCTTAAATAATTTACTAACAGGGTAAAGAAAAAACAAATCAGTCATATCTAAAACTTTACTTTTTATTTGTTGTTATGGTTATCACATTCAAAGGAAACTTCAGTTCCAAGGTTTAAATTAACTCTAAATCCATCTGAAAACTATCGATATTTATTGCAATAGTTGGTTGCAATATCAATAGTTATCTCAATAGTTTCTTTCAATAGCAATAGTTATCGCAATAGTGATTTCCGGACCAATAGTCACCCAAATTTAAACAGATGGGATATAAACAGATGGGGTATGAACAGATGGGATATAAACAGATGAGATTTAAACAGATGGGATATAAACTGATGGGGTTTAAACAGATGGGATACAAGCAGATTGGTTATGAACAGATTGGATAAAAACTGATGGGAATAAACATGGGATATAAACAGATAGGGTATAAACTGTTGTGATGCTAAGACAGTATGCAAATGGTGTGATATAAATGAACTTTATCCATGAATTATTATATCCCATCTGTTTATATGATGACAGCATATATCCCATCTGCTTCATGGCAATTTATATCCAAGCTATATATCATCAGGATGAGGGTTTACACCCTAGTATCTGAATATACAGACGGTTAATCCCCCATGTTCTACCTGGCCATCCCCTGGAACTTTCATATTTAATGAAACTTTACTTTTGTCACTGGATTGGAATAGTAGGAATCCTATATCAGGAAGTGGTTTTCTGTTAGCCATCTCTCTCATGTTCCCCTGTCCATCATTTTACAGTTTTTGTATCTCTATGAGACTTAAAGGAAGATGAAGTTGGAACTGTACTTGGCTCCACCTAAGTCAGGTCTGATATTCAACAAATCAGCAGTGGTGGTGATATTGCAAGAAGTCACTTTTGTACTTTCAAAAATGTTGAGATATGTGGCAGTTTGGCATGCAAAACATTGTTTTAACTTGTGACCTGTGTTGGCAGTACTGCAAACAGATGGGACCATAGAGTCTTACATCTGTTGGGGGCACAGGTGGCACAGTCATCTAAGGCGCCACAATTCGCTGTGCAGAGTTGCGTCCCTTGGGCATGCCAAAAATCTTTGATTGTGGGTTCGAATCCTGGTTCGCCCTGATTATGTTTCTAGGTTTGTCAGCACCATACCGGTGCTCGTGGGTTTCACCGAAGTGGTAAACGTCTGAGACCTGCATCACTTCGGGCTTTCCTCCCACATTAAGCTGACACGCCATGATATAACTGGAATACTGTTAAAAGCGGCGTTAAACCCAATTCACTCACTCACTCACTCACTCACTCACTCACTCACTCACTCACTCACTCTTACATCTGTTTTCAGTGTCATAACCACAACTGGTCCTAATATGATTCATCATGGCTAGTTACGTTTTGTTTCCTTTTCATTCCAGGCGTTTAATGTTAGCGAAAATCAACTGGGTTTTTGTCTTCAAGGACACACTGTATAGAGAAAATGTACCCAAGTTGATAGACTGCATCAACAACATTCTCCTCCATCATGAGAGAGAGGCTGCAACCACCCAGGACTTAGTGACTACACATGGGATGAAGATCAACATCAACTTTACCCATGGCTTGGACTTTGCCACGGAGGATCTGGGGGAGGAGGATGTGACAGATAACCCTGCCAATCAACAAGCATCACTGGCCAGATCTGGTCTCAGCTATGATTTCTGGGACAGGCATTTTGAAGGAAGAACAGAGGTACCATGGAAAGACTTTAAAGATGCATTTGTGCTTGACTATGGTGACAAGATAGTTGAGCAGTATTCTGAAGATAAGAAGAAACTGTTTGTTAATCTGATGTATAAGGATATCTTCGATCTGAAGAAAACAGTCAGCAAGTTTGTGTATAACCAGGCATGCAGCAACAACATGAATGCTGACCCACACTGTTTCTACAACAGGATTGAGGAGTACGCTATTGCCTATCTCTCACTGAGGGAAGTGATTGGCATGGACAGCACACTCCGCATCACTACCATACAGAGTTTGGGTGAGCAATAGCAATCAGGATGTTTAATTCCTTTATGAAACCTGTAGTCTCAGTGTGTGATATCTATCTTTATCATATAATGTGTAGGTTTCTCGGGAGGATAAAGCCAACGGATAAAACCGATATCCGTTGGGGTCATATGGGGATAGAGATGCAAATATCAAAGGTCAAGTAGGGACTACTTTCACTGTTTATAAACAAACATGGCGTTGCCCTCGTCATTCGGCGATCGAGTCAGAATTAACCATCGGGAATCTGGATAAACTACAGGGATAATTGCTATCATTATCAAAAGAACAGTCTAATATACTGAAAATCCGTGTCTAACTGTGACATAACTAAGGCATTTTATAAGTTTTGGCAACTTTGGAGATATAACTTTCGAAACAATTTTGCGAGGGCACAAGGCCTAGCCAAGCGGGATCTGTAGCCATATCTGTGCTTGTAGACCTCTGCGGCTTGAAACCTTCTCCACAAATTAAAATAGTTTGATTTGGCCGAAATATATTTGAATTGTTACCTTGTTTCGTTTTGTCGCTGTGTGTACATCTGACTACTTTTCTTAACGAGTAGTATAGGTAATGGGGGTTCTGGTCCACTTCCACTGGAGCCGGGTTCATATACCTATACTGCTACTACAGGTGGCATTTTTTATGCCAAAATGATTATGCGATTCAATGATAGTCATGAGATTAAGTTAAATTTGGTCTAGCTCACCAATACCTGGGGCCAATCAATGCTTCTATTAGTATAAAAATGATGATGCGATTCAACGAAAGTCGTTTTAAAAGAAACATCAATATTAATTAATAATGGATAAAATTTACTATAGCCCACGAGGATATTGGAAAGGTGTAGGAGCAATAAAAAAATTAGCCACCGCGGCTAAGGTATCTAAAGATGTGGCTAAGGATTGGTTAAAGAAACAAGTGATGTGGCAGATATATTTACCGGCACCGCGTTATATACCGAGGAAGAAGTTTGATATTTTTACAACGAATGAAGTTCATCGGTCTGACCTCTTGTTTCTTCCCCACGATAAGGTAAAACGCAAAACGTATAAATACGCTTTAACGGTAGTGGATGTGGCTAGTCGATACAAAGAGGCTGAGCCATTAACCTCGAAAGAATCAACAGAGGTAGCTAATGCACTAAGTCGCATATATAAACGCGGACCGCTAAAATGGCCTAAGCTATTTCAAGTAGATCCCGGTCGCGAGTTTATGGGATCGGTAACTAAACTGTTAACAAAGAACGATGTCGAAATCGTCCGTGGTGAAAGAGAGGCCCACCCAAGTCAAGCTATCGTCGAAAGATTTAACCGGACATTAGCGGAACGTTTGTTTGGCTATCAGTATGGGATCGAAATGAAATCCGAGCGATTGAGATCAACCGAATGGGTGATACGATTATCAGCCGTTGTATCAGCGCTGAATAATGAAGTAACGAGATTAATAGGGAAGAAACCATCCTATGCTATTAAAATGAAATCCGTGACTTCCGAATCTTCAGCACCGAGGAGAGGCAAAGAACGAAAACTTCCGGATAGAGTAAGCGTAAGATATTTATACCAGCCCGGTGAACTCGAAGGAGGCCTACGTCGCGCAACCGATCCCATATGGTCTCTTAAGACGTATAACATTAGTCGATTGGTTACGAAAGAAGGAGAGCCTATTCTTTATTATCTTCAAGATGGACCGGGTAGGGCATTTGTACGAGAAGAGTTGTTCATAGTTCCCGACGGTACGGTATTACCACCATAACCATAAGCATAGGTAGTTACACCATCATTATCAATCCATCTCTTTGTATCTAAGGGGGATAATGATGTCTTGTTCATTCTTAATCCATATATCCTATGATTGTAACTTCTTAAAGAGTTCATCTTGTGTTTGAAAGTTCTACCGTTGAATAATGATTCTTTATACTGTTCGTGTTTGATATGCTTTTTTACAACATACTTCTTAACACCCTTAGCTTTTCTTATCTCTCCATTATCGGACTTCTTTATAGAATACATCTTAGGTCTTAATCCCACATACTCCGCTATAGGGGTCCCAGCACATTCATCCTTCATCTTACCTAACACCTTTTTATTTACTACGCTGTGCAGTGGATTATCTTTAGGGTAATCGCTCGTGTCGTACATATCTATTTCTTCTGCCATATCTTTATACACATCCTCGGTTTGTATTTCCATCAACAAAGAATCTGTGTCGGTATATAACACCTCGCATCTATCGCCGTATTGCTTCTTAAGTTCGTTGTAATAAAAGTCATACATTAAATGTTTTGACAAGTCGAGAATACTCATACCGACGTACACCGGTCTGTTGAATTTTATATTACTCTTCTGCATATGCAACGCGGCTAAGTCGTTATCGAATATCTTGCTTCTGTTAAAAGCCGGACTGGCTATAAGTTTCCTGAGTCTTTCTTCCTCATTAGATCTGACTAATTTAACATCAACACGCTTCCTTAGATTCTCCATAGTTTTACCAAATACCGAGTTATTCATGATATACAGATTCTTTTCAAAATCGCTGGTAGCTATCTTTCTTAAATCTGTGTTCAACCTTATATAGGGCTCCATCCAAGGGCTTTGATCGAACTTTAGAACTCTGTGTATTTTCTTAAGTTTCATACCTAACGATAGATACAACTGGAGATTTCTGTAGTGAACTATATATTTTGTTTTATCCATCAAATTTGGTACGAGTTTTTCTACGTTAGCTAACCTACTATTACCCATCAAGGAGCGTTGATATTCCGACATCCAATCTTTATTAACCATTAATCTTTCGGGAGCTAGCGGATAACTGTTATGGTCTTTATGTAACGAACTTGGATATTCCAAGTCAACTTCTAGTATGTACCCTTTATTCACATCATTATTATGAATATTAATAACATTGATATTATTCACATTGATATCATCGACCCATTCAAAACCACCCGTGGGTAAAGGTTGACTCATAGCCCATCCGTACAAATTGTTAGAGTTGAGATATAATATATGCGTGTCGGGTTTACTCGGATCGTATCCTTCCACTAATTTATTATTAGCCTTAGAATACCTTTTAGCTGCCATCGATATACCACCTCTTAATCCTTTCTCAATAAACAAGTGCATATCGTAATCTGTTAGTAGTTTTAGTTCTACGCCGGTCTTCTTCAACAATGCATCCCACGATAGTCCGGGACTGGAATAGTACCATGCCGGGTCCAAGCCATATTGTTTGAAACATGTCTTTCTAAATATCTCGAATATATCGGCGAGTAACAGTACATCGGTTTTTAAGTACAGATCGTGATAATCGCCTAAATTCTTACAACCTAATTTATCCCAGACCGTCAGAGCGTGTTCATAATCGGCATCTGTTATTCTAGATTCTGTTAAGTTACTATAGAATGATTCGAGGGGTGGTAATTCAGTTTCTTCGAATCTAGACCAATCATCCATATATTCGTAAGGATATACACCTTTTCTCAGCAACAAATGACGAGTTATCTTATCGGTATATTGATTTGTTATCGCGAAGTCATCGGGATTGTTCGCATTAGCTAAATTGTCCAGGAAAGATAACAGAAACTGTACAGAGTCTATGAATCTAAGCCCATTACTTTGCTTTGTTCTAGATTTCCCATCCTTGTCCCTATAATGTATAGGTTTAGTCAACGAGAACGATATGTATTTTTCCATATTATTAGGAATGCACGTTAAACCGCCGTCGGTCTTTGAGATAGCTTGCATAATGAGATGTGAATCGTATCCCCTAAGGTTATGAAACACAACGGGGATGGGTATTGTTTGAGAGTTCATTTTTAGTTTCAAGTTACACTCGTTATGAGTGGCTCCCCGATAATTACCCGTGACGTGACAATGATCTCTTACGGAATCCCCATCCAGGGGTTTGTTAGAAACATGACAACTCGTTGACTTCTTATGAGCCCACCAATCATCCCTCGTCATACGCATGGGTTTCTTACACGATAAGTTTTCCCTGATTATTCTCTCTTCATTTTGTAGATATTCTAGGAACTTTCCCGCTGCATCGGGACCTCTGTAAATCACGGGCGGGTTTGTTTTCCCATCATACCTTACAACTATATATCCAAACCCACAAGGAATATGTTCTTGAGTTTTGTACGTAAAACTATTATCAGTATTGCTATGGTTGGTATTTTCTATGGGTTTGATAAGCGCTTCGAAGTCGGCGTAAATTACGTACGGTACTGGCATTTGATTACAATAATGTTCAAATTTTAATATATTTTTTCCCTCTTTAGGCATATCGATCCTGATAGCATTCTGTCCAACACCTCTACAGTCTTCTTTATGCGCTTCTAATAGATCTTGTCTGCTGTACCCATGTAGGCATCTTTTGCAGAAATATTTCTTTTCTTTATGTTTTGTTTGATCGTATAGTAGCCTGTTTAAACTCTTTATCCACGTATAATGATATTTACCATCTTTTTCGATCAGAAATGAATTGATTCTGGGGATATTTTCCGGAGCGGAGCTTATCCTGTGTACAACAATTTCTTTAGAATGTCCGAAAACATTTATAGCTAAATTATTTTGCTTTTCCACCTTATCAATTTGTGATATTGGTGTAGGTTCGTCTATACCATCGAAGTTGAGTCCATCGTTTTGGGGATAGCTAGAAGGTCTATCCGGATGCTTGTCTACGGGGAACAATGCAGTTCTTATCATCATTCTTAAACAGTCATCGGATTTATTTTTTACGTTAATTATGGATTTTTTCTTCTTATAATACGGGGGTAAATCTATATAAGATCCACCTTTGAAGGGCATATAATTTGCTATATCTAAATATAAACTATCGATTTTATCCACACCCCAACCCGAACCTCTATTAGTCCAGCGTTCTAAAGTTTCCTGTATTCTCTGAATTGATGTATCTAATGATGCGTTTATAGTATCGGATTCGGTTATAACTTCTTGATTGCTACGGAAATATGGTTCAGTATATTCG